CCGAGTCATGTCACAACGAAGTAGCATCTTGTTAACAAAGTACCCCCTCAAGAGTGGTGGGGGCTCACCAGGCAAAGGCTAGGTTTGCATGCATTTCCCCAGCCCCGCCCTCTCCCCAGCCCCGCCCTCCCCCCTACTTCCCGCCCTCCCCCTACTTCCCGCTCTCCCTCCACCCCCTTCCCTCCCCAGCCTCACCGTCCTCCCCTGCCTCCGCCCTTCACCCCCCAGCTGAGCCCAGGTGAACTTCCCTGACCACCAGGGAGGGGAGCTCAGATGAAGCTTGGTGGGGTCGTCCCCATCCTAACAAGGCTCCAGGCGCTGTGCGAGGCTCAGGAATGCCAACTTTTGTGGGTGAAAGGGAGGTGAAAGTCATTACCTCAATGGCAGGCTGTCAGGTTGGTCCTGCAGGTGATGGGCCTCCGGGCTGTTGGGAGAGAAAAGTCCGGTCAGCTGAGCCCATTCATCCACCCTTCTGTCCAACAAGCATTTGCTGGGCGCCCCTGCTGCTGGACAGAGGGAGGGAGCTGGACCAGGTCTGGCTCTGAGGGCCGATCCCTTGGGCTCATGACCCGGCCTGGTTAGAGCCTTTCACCTGATCTGTTCTCCATCAGCTGGAGAGTGATGGCCCCGAAGAAATTAGCTCTGAGAGCAAACATGAGCCCTTACCACTCCGTGCTGATGGGCGCCCATCACAGGGAGGCCCCAGCGGAGCAGCAGAAGGGAATGACTTTACTGCCATTAACCCGGGTCACTATTCCTCCCCAAACTCCGGCCTGGAGCTGCAGCCAGCTGTAACTGCGTCCTCTCCAACAGAAATCACAACTCTGTCTCTCTTCTATTTTAGGGTTTGAGAAAACTTGGTAGAGAGAGGAACTTGGATTCAGCTGGATACTGAGTGCTTCTTGGGTTACAGTTACCTCCAATTCAATACATACTCGTATTTTTATTTCTGGCCTAGATCTTTCGAGAAGGAACCACCTTGACTCCAAAGACCCCTTCATTACCTTTGAGACTCTTCTCTCTGCTCCCATCTGGGAATCAGGTTGAAAATATTGCTGGGGGGACAAAAAAAGAGGGTGAAGTGGAGTCCTCACTCAGCAGGGGAGAGCAGACATGCTGTGGTTTTGAGGCTGAGATTTCAACACTCTGCTGCTGACCCTTTCGGTCTCTGGCCCCTGAGGAAACAGATACGAAGCGCAAGCAGAACAGAGCGAGTGGGACATCTCACTGGGGTGGGAGGAGAGAACGGGGTGTGCAGGCAGACCCCCCCAAACAGTGTCCTGCTGCCTGCCACCCCCTACACACCCTACTTTAACACAATCTCATTACCATAACTAAGAGCTTGTAAGTGCTCCCGACCTTCCTCTCTGTGGGTCAGGGACCCCTGCATGAGAATCATCCCATCCGAGGGGTGGTTTTTAGATGCAATTCCAGACTCCCTGACTCGAGCCCTGAGCAGATGGGAAGGGGGTGTGTATACAGAAATCTCTCGTTTTAACAGGCTCCCTGAGTGATCTGTGCACACTCTAAAGTGGAGAGCCATGCCTCCTTTCTGTCTTGCAACAACCTTGCCGCAGACAGCACTAGAAGCCCAACACGGGGGTCCCGGGGTGGGGGGTTGCTGCGGCTCACAGGGTCAGCAGCTCCCTAGCTAAGTCAGAGCTGGGAGGCGATCGCAGCCTTTCCAGCCGCCCCAGGCTGGGCTGGGACAAGGGCTCTGGGAGACCCACACCCCACACGTGGGGCTAGGCGGGGTCCTATGATGGAAGGCTGGAATCCCACTCTTAGCCCCGCCCCCTCTCTGCCCTCCTCTCCCCCGCTGTGACTCCCCACATCCAAGCACCAGTGGTCCCAGAAGCTGCGCCCCGTCCTCCTGGGAGCTGCTGTGTGTCCCTGTGAAGTGGCCCCTCCCTGCACGGTGGGCTCCCGGGGCGGGATTTGGCCCACAGTACAACAGAGGCAGCTCTGAGATGGAGATTCGGCCCCAGAAGGGCCCTGCAGCAGTCCAGGGGGTGCCCTTTGCCGGTCAACAGCCCCCACACCATGAGTGTCACACCCTTTCCCTTACCGGGACCGCCTGTAATTAGTTCCATTTGCTGCTTAGACCAGACTTGGCTCCAGGAAGCCCTGGCATGTCCAGCTCTACCAGATCAAGGAGGGGTGGTCTTCCTCCCAGGACTGCCGGGGAATCCTGAACCCACTCTCGTGACATCCCCTCGCCTGTAACTGCCTGTCACCCGTCTACTCCTGCTCACAGACCTGACATCCTTCAGGACTGGGGCTGCCCCACCGACGAGGCATTCCTGTGCCTTCTAAACCACCAGGCTCTAACAGGTGCTCGTAAACTCTCACGGGGGTGAATGTGCAACGCGTCCCTCGGCGCATGTGCCAAGTTTACAGCACCTGCGTCGGCTGCACCCTCAGCCCTAAGACAGGGCGCTGACCCCAGACCAGACTTCCGTCAGTCAGAGACGCTCCCTCCGGCACCTGGGAGCCTGGGTTTGGAGTCAGGTGGAGGGCTTGTGTCCTGGCCTTGCCACGTTGTGCCTCATAACCTGGGTCGCGTTTCTTCACCTCTGGAGCCTCCGTTTCCTCAGGTGTAAGTGGGTAATAATGTACATCTGACAGGCTGTTGAGAGCGGCACCAGAACGCCTGTCCAGCATTTCCCTCCGTGCCTAGCGCAGAATAAACATCCAACAAAAGGAAGCTCCGTCTAACAAACGTCTTTGTGAAAGCCATCGGGCGACGTGTGTGTCTCTACGAGTCGCAGCCAAACTGCCCTCCTTCTGTGCTCTGGAGCGCTATTGCCCAGCCCAGGGGCAGTTCCGCCCTCTTGCGCCGTGAGCACTGGGTGCTGACCAGCGCTGACCAGGTTCTCCTTCTGAAGGGGACGCTGTTTCACAGCTACCAAGTTTGTTTTCAAACATAAGCTAGAATAATAAAAGGCAGTGAAAGATGTTACCTGTTCTTCATAAATGTATTTAAAGTGTGACGTGAGCTCTGTATGTTGACATGATGGGTGTTGGTAAAAGGCTATAAAGCAACAGCAGTCGTGTTTACCCTGCCCCCCAGGTGAGCCTGTCACCCACAGGTTCCCGGTAATTGGCGAATCAGCTAATCGGAGTGAAGGCTGCCTGGGAGCCCGAGTCTCAGCCCCGCCCTGGCAGGTGGCGTGACCAGAGGCTGGGAGTACCCTGATCTACAAAATGGGCATGACAGTGCCCTTCACGGCTTCTCCAGGTTCATTGTCGTGGGCCAAAGAAAACCTACCAGGTCCCATCCCATAAAGCCAGCTGAGTCATAAATCCCCACCTGCCACAGGGCCCAAGGGCCCTTCCCAACCTTCATACCTGTAGAAGCCCAGACACGCAGCCAAGAGCAGGACCAGGCACAGCCAGGACTTGGAGCTCCCTCCCCGGAAGTCTGTGGAGAGGAGGAAGGCTGGGTTACTGGGAGCTGAGTTATCTGGTCCTTGAATCATCTTGTTGAGGCCAATGGGCACCAGCCAGGGACCGCCTCCTGCTGGCTCCAGCCAAAAGCCCTCTCCCCTTCCTGTGCTCGCAGGGGGGGTGGGTTATACCTCTCCTGGAGGCATCGTCCCGTGAGCCTCTCCCTGCAGCCCCTGAGCCCCGGCCTGGGTGCCCCTGCTTGTGGGCAGGCCCCTGGGGGCCGGGACCAGGCCTCTGCTCCAAAGGAGGGGGTGCAGTGGAATGTGGCCCTGAGCTGACCTCCAGGTCGATAAAGAGATGCAGGAGGACTGTGAGGCACAAAGGGGCACAGACCCAGCTCACGAGGGGACTCCAAGCCCCCGGAGCCCTGAAGCCCTAAGGCTGTGGGAGCTCACGCAGTTGGAGCAGGCAGGTAGCCAGCTGTGAGCAGAGAAGGGGCACAGGCCTAACGGCAGGAAACCGCGCATCATGTGGGCAAGGGGGGTCCCCGGGCAGACAGAGGGAAGCAGGAGCCCCAGGACTGGTAAGAGGTCACAAATCTGGGGGTAACAAGTGGCCTGGAGGCCGACACAGAAAGGTGGGGAAAGGCAGGAATCTGCGGCGTCCGAATGTAACTTGTGCTCATCACGCCCTCATCACGATAACATCAGCCTTGCAGATTAGAACTAGCCGGCAGGCACGGATGTCACGGCACTTCCGACCCAGGCTGAACTGCGCCGGAAAAGCCGGGCTGGGCCTGCTCGTAAATCTCAGTGTGACAAGCGTCGGGTTGCTGACCTGAGTTCTGCTGGGCTAACTCGTAAGTCTGAGTTTGATTAGTGTTGGTAACTGATCTGTTCTTATTAGAGAAGTTCTAGTTTACTGATTCCCTGCTTCTGTTTAGTGATATTGCTGAGCCGTTTGCGCCCTATTGGCTAAAAATCCCAAGCTTGTAATGCACCCTGTAAAGCCTTGCACACAGGTCTTGAAGGTGCTCAGGGCTCCGGAGCAGAAGCCCCTCTGAGCCCGCCGGCGTGAGAAACCTGAGTGCTCCAACCCTCCGAGCGGTCCTTGATTCTTGGCTGGCCTATCGTTTCCGTAACAGATCAAGGACAAAAATCCTTGCTCCCCTCGGGAAGGTGGAACTGGGGTGGAAATCAGGAAACACGACCCCAAAGTCCTCCCTCCCCAGAGACAATCCCGCCGCCCATTCACTTCCACACCCCATGGAAGCAACTTACCAAGGCAACTCGGCGCAGCTGCCCGCCCGAGCCTGCCCGCCCTCCCCTTGACAGCATCCCATCTACCCCTTAATAAATCCCCACTTTGCTTTCCTAACCTCTGAGTCCCGTCTCTGAATTCAAGGAGACAAGAACCAAATCGCTGCAACAATTTTCCTGCTTTCCTCTGTCTGCCAGGGACCCCCTTGTTCACATGATGTGAGGTTTCCTGCCATGTGGCCCGTGCCCCACTTTCTCTGCTCACGTCTAGCCCCCTGCCAGCTCTAACACCCGAGTCACACACAGCAAAACCAGTCAGGCGCGGGACACCGCTGCGGGAGCGCCGCACTTCCAGGGCATGTGATGAACAACTCCGCTGGACAAAGACTCTCCCACCCCTCCTAGAACCGTGTCACTGGGTGTCAGAGGCCCAAGTCTGATGTCCCAGCAGCCAGATCTCGGTGATCAAAAATACGTGGGGGTCCCAGGTGCTGGATAAGAAAACCATGCATACCTGGGTGCGACCCAGAAACATTTGCCAAAGAATCTCATCTGGTCTGGGAGACACACCTCAGCCCCCTTTGACTGAATGTGAACATGTGAAAACCCAGGGGTCTGTAAACTCTGGGGTGTATCCAGAAACATGTTCGTATACAAGTTTACAATGAATTTGATAACATCGTATCATTTTATATAAACTGTTTCCTCTATTTTAAATGTTAAGGGACTTAGATATGCCCAATTTGTGTTTAATAGACCGACAAGGTTTTTAAGTGCATAGTAAGTTTTTGTCACATTTAAGAGTCTGTTCTGTCCCAAATCTTTTGTGCCTGAGAGAATCAGATCAATTAGGCGTACAGTCACAATTTAAAACAAATTATGCTAGGTGGGAAAAATCCAGATGAAAGCAAGTACTTAATGTAGGATTTCGTCTGTATAATTCTAGGAAATGCAAACGAATCTTAATGCTAGAAAAGAGAACAGTGGTTGCCTGGGGACGGAGTGGGCAGGTAAGTGGGGCGGGGCCAGGACGGAGGACGGATGAGCACAGCAGCTTGGAGGGTGATGGTTACATTCACTTTTATAACTGTGGTGAAGGTTTTGTCTGTGTAAACACATCGAATTACCAAATTCTACACTTTAAGTAAACACACAGTTTATTCCATGTCCATTTTACCTCTATAAGGTGCTTTTTTAAAAAGAAAGAAAAAGATGCACTCAGATTGGGAAGGAAAAAGCAGACCTGCCTTTATTTTCATACAGCATGTTCATCTATAGAGGAAATCTGATGGCGTCTGTTTAAAAAAGCATTAGGCTTAACACGAGAGTTGGTGAGTTTACCAAAACCTCAGGATACATGATCAACATCCACAAATCTACTGTTACTTTATATGCTGACAATGGATATTCAGAAATGGAAATTAGTAACACAACACCATTCACAATAGTATAAAAAACATGAAATACTTAGATAACTCTGACCCCCAAAATGTACAAAATGTGTGCAGGGGATACTGCAAAACATGGCTGCGAAACACTAAGGCAGTCTGTAAAAACGGTGAGGTCCACCATGATCATGAGTCAGGAGACTAAGTGTTGTTAAAATGTCAAACCTCCCCAGTTTAATTTATAGAATGAATATAATTCCAATCAAAATCCCAGCAGGATTTTGTGTAGAAGGTGACAAGCTGAATTCTAAAATGTATATGGAAATGCAAAGGACCTGTAACAATTGAAACAGCCTTGAAAAATATAAATAAATTTGAAGGACGACCCAATCTTAAATCCCGTCCTGCTAGAAAGTTAGCGTGATCAAGGCCATGTGAACCGCATCGAGAGAAACCAGCCAGTGGAGCAGAATACAGCCCAGAAACAGACACACACGCGCGCGCGTACACACGCGCACACA